ATATATATATATATATATATACATACATACATACATACACACATGTATATATATATATATATACATACATACATACATACACACATGTATATATATATATATATACACACACATATGTAGACTGTTTTGTTTAACAAAAATGACTGGCAAGGTCTCCAGGTGCTGGCTGTACCCAATATAAAAGTTTTATATAAATATAGAAAAACCCAATGACCTACAGCCTCTAATGCAAAAATATGTGAAGTAGCTGCAATTTTTCTAATTTAAAACTGAATGTTTTTACTTGGTGCTTGTTTAGTTGCATCATCGAGAGAATGTGTGTGTGTGTGTGAGACTCACAGGAGTGCAGCTTAAACAGTAGCTTCACAGTGTAATCATAGAGGTGGCTGCAGTCCAGGATGACTTGGATGAGCGGTGCGAGACGACACTGACCCGCTGCCGTCACCGATACTGACCGAGACATGTCCAGAGAGCTGAATACTGGGAGACCACACACAAACATCAGATCAGTATGGCTCAGAAGCTGCCGTAGTACTAACTAAAGACAAAGTAAAGACAAATAGTGTGAGCAATAATAGTGTGAGCATGTGGTCTACATTAACTGTAGTCCTAAATGAACCAGCAAATACGGGCTCAAATATCCGTAGACAATTGAGGGCCATGCCTTGATGTCAACTAAAAACGCTTTGCCCGTCATGTAGCCTCTTAGGAAGCAGTCATTTCTGGACTATTGAGCGTACCTGAATATAAGCCGCACCTACTAAATTTAAAAAGAAAAAAAAAATTGTACCTATATAAAGGCTTCACGTATGTATCCATGTTGTACCATGGGGTATTTACACAGAAATATTTTTTTCACTTGTAATTAAATATAGGGATTTTCTGAACAGTGCCTGTAACACGGCTGGTTACACGTTAGCTCTTTCCTGCTTTTGCTCTCTCTCTCTTGCGTGCCCCCCCCACACACATATACACAGCCATACGCTACTAGTATAACTCACAGTATCCAGAAAAGTAAAGTAAACAGAAAAGTCATTGATCGCTAGCGTTATGAACTTCGTTAGCTCGCAAAAATCCATAAATTAGCCACATCATTGTTTAAGACACAGGGTGTCTGAAAAAAGTAGCGACTTATAGTCTGGAAATGACTGTAGTTCCAGGTGCTTAAATGCTAACATTCTACCAGAGATGGAGACTTTGCAACTCAGACTAGAGTCCGAGTCTAGTCTAGTCCGAGACTAGAGTCCGAGTCATATTTAAGTCGCATACACAGAGGAATTCTGCTCGGACGACTAGGCTCGTCTCTGACTCAGATTTTGGCACTCGTGAACAATAATTTTCTATTTTTTTGGCATATTAACTTGTATTAAGTTTGATGTTTTTGATACCGCAGACTGCATCAGAAAAGAAAGAGAAAACCTCATTTTCGAGTGTGTAACATGCTACATGCAATTTGCAAAGACTCAACAATGTTTGATCTCTGATCATCCAATCAAATTACTCAAATCGCGTAACCCTGGGCCAGCTAGAAGGCCTTGCTATTCCAGCGTGATTCGAACTCAAATCTGATTGATTAAAGAAACAATTTCCACTGCCATTCCGTTTACGCTCCCCATGCCAACACCACCGCCACGCCTTGAATGCCTTAGAGCTGATTTGGTTCAACTTGGCAACACATGAGGCTGAAATATAATTGGCGAAAAAAACTCTAGTAACAGCGCAAACAAATAAAAGTCGAGAGTTTGAAAAATAAGTCACTGATTTTGTCAGTGACTTATTTTTCCAATATCGAAGGCCTTGCTGGCTTTAACGGTATGCCACTGCTGCAGATGGGATGAACGAATGAAACGTAACACAGCATATTGTTCAATGCTGTAAATGTTTAGCAAGAGACTGGGTAAAAAAACGTATTGGTTGAAGGCGGTGTAAAATGAATATCTGATAATAATATTGCAAAAGAGGCCGTTATTTTTTTAAAATCTCACTCTCGTCTTTGCCATCGCCAGTTCGATCTGCTTGGAGCTACCATCAGCAGTGTGACCCCCTACCCTCTCCCCTCGCAAATAGGCTCACTTCTGCCAACTGACCAAAGTTGGCAGTGCTTGCATAAAATAGACAAATTGAAGGTGCGTAAAAACACCGTTACATTTAAAATGTAAAATATGTGTGTCCTGGGTTTTTTTGGTGGGGTGGCGGATGCGAAAAGCCTAGGCCACGGCCTAGCAGAAAAGGTTTAGGGAAAAATATGTGTGTCCTGGGGGGTGGCAGATGCGAAAAGCCTAGGTCACGGCCTAGCAGAAAAGGTTTAGGGAACCTCTGAACTAAGGTGTATTTGACAACCAACACACCACTTAGTTCTGCTTTTAAAAAAGTGGGGAAAAAAATAGGAGCGGCAACCTGAAACAGTAAGAGGATTGTCTGACTCCTCCATAATTACACCCAGTGTTACTCACACCATTACCACAGACAGACCCTGAGAGTGTATTGCACGAGGTGTGGTTTCCTGTCCACACACACACACAGGCTGACGTGATCCTTTTAAAATACTTCTGACAACACAGGAAGCTGGCATTAGCTAAGATTTGGAGTGACTTTTGAATTGTGGATGTTTTTTGCAAATTCAATCAGAATTAATGACTAACCCAGCTCAACCTGCACAATGCCCTATAGCAGGATTTTTTGGGCTGCTGTCTTTTTTTTTTGTACTAGAAAGTGTACAAGGAGGGGAGAAAATGGAGGGGAGAGCGGGAGATAATAGTGTTATCTGAAGACAGGTGTCAGGTGCGTCAGAAATGGAAAAGCAGACGTTTAAATCCATTCTTATTATTTATGAATAGAGGCACGCAGCTGTTTCAGTTTCTGGCTCCTTCTGACCCTGTGGTCACAGCAGTGTGGTCTATTTTTAGCTGTGCCTACACTTTAAGGATATTAACCTGAGATGACTCTCTCTTTCTCTCTTACTCTCTCACACACACACACAAAAATACAGTACAGTACAGCACTAGAAACAGTATCCAACTATGAAATGCCAGACAGACGCATTAGGACAAATACAACATAAAGTATAATAATCCATAACAGTTTTGTCACATCAGAATCACTCACCGCCCAGGAAGAGGTTGAGCTCACACTCCAGGTAGTCAAACATCTCTACTGTCAACTGGAAACTGGAAGTAGAGAAACAAGAAAAAGTGCCCTCGAGCAGCTATCAGTGTGAAAATAATGCACATGTAAATTTTTAATGGTTCAGGAGTAGCCAATACTGGTACACGAGCCTAGAGCGCCCTCTAGTGGCTGTCAGTGTGAAAATAACAAACATGTAAAATTTCAGGAGTAGCCAATATTGGTACATAAGCCTAGAGTGCCCTCTAGTGGCTGGCAGTGTGAAAATAACGAACATGTAAATTTTCAGTGGTACAGGAGCAGCCAATATTGGTACATAAGCCTAGAGTGCCCTCTAGTGGCTGGCCGGGTGGAAAAAACAAACATGTAAAAATTCAGGAGTAGCCAATATTGGTACAATAGCCTAGAGTGCCCTCTAGTGGCTGTCAGTGTGAAAATAAAGCACATGTAAATTTTTAATGGTTCAGGAGTAGCCAATACTGGTACACGAGCCTAGAGCGCCCTCTAGCGGCTGTCAGTGTGAAAATAACAAACATGTAAAATTTCAGGATTAGCCAATATTGGTACATAAGCCTAGAGCGCCCTCTAGTGGTTGTCAGTGTGAAAATAATGCACATGTAAATTTTTAATGGTTCAGGAGTAGCCAATACTGGTACACAGGCCTAGAGCGCCCTCTAGTGGCTGGCCGGGTGGAAAAAACAAACATGTAAAAATTCAGGAGTAGCCAATATTGGTACAATAGCCTAGAGTGCCCTCTAGTGGCTATCAGTGTGAAAATAATGCACATGTAAATTTTTAATGGTTCAGGAGTAGCCAATACTGGTACACGAGTCTAGAGCGCCCTCTAGCTGCTGTCAGTGTGAAAATAACGAACATGTACATTTTCAATGGTACAGGAGTAGCCAATACTGGTACACGAGCCTAGAGCGCCCTCTAGTGGCTGTCAGTGTGAAAAAAACAAACATGTAAAAATTCAGGAGTAGCCAATATTGGTACATAAGCCTAGAGTGCCCTCTAGTGGCTGTCAGTGTGAAAATAACAAACATGTAAAATTTCAGGAGTAGCCAATATTGGTACAATAGCCTAGAGTGCCCTCTAGTGGCTATCAGTGTGAAAATAATGCACATGTACATTTTCAATGGTACAGGAGTAGCCAATACTGGTACACGAGTCTAGAGCGCCCTCTAGCTGCTGTCAGTGTGAAAATAACAAACATGTAAAATTTCAGGAGTAGCCAATATTGGTACAATAGCCTAGAGTGCCCTCTAGCTAGTGGCCTCTCTGCGGACGGGAAACAAGCCCAGTACTCTGGCTAAAATGGTCCAGCAGCCTGAAAGCCCCTTAAAGTCAGACCTGGCCATCGACTGCCGCTATGCCATGCCTGTGGCCTGCGAGCCACATGTTTGATCTCAATGTTAAAGAAACCATGGGCCTGTTTTAATACAAATACAGCAGTCGATCTACTGATATGTGAGGGGGCAGCTCAAATGCATCTTGATTGGTGTTCAGGTTATGCATTGCAAAAAAAAAAAAAAACAACCTTAACATCCCATCAACATGTGGCAAAAAACTTCACAATTGTACGAAAAAAAAGACACGCTTACAAGTTGTTGACATCGTTTTCTCCTGCCTCGTCCAGCTCTCTGTTGGTCATCTGCAGATTGCCTGGAAAACGTGGGTTCTTAAAGGAAGAGGACAGAAGAACAATTTGAACTCAAATTATGACAATTAAGACACTGTTGACCTATCTCAATATTATTTTGAACACTTGATTGCAAGGTTACACCTTAACGCAAAGCAAAATCCTGGAAAAAAAAAAAAAAATCATCCAGGTTTTGTAAGACATTGATTGAATACAGGTCTACTATATACGTATATATAAGTTTTATGCATAGCTATGTTATAGTCATTCAAATAGATTACCATTTTAACATCCTACTTAACAGACTGTGTTTTAGAAATCAATATATTTTCAATCCTAAAGTGAGAGGTATCTTAAGAACAGAAAAGAGATATTGCATAGGGGTGAACACCCTTTGTGACTGACAACTGAACTGGCCAATATGATGCCTGGAGCAGGTAACGTTCACTGTGATTGTTTCATGAACAGATTACACTTGATTGTATAATCTCACAAAATTCCAGTCCAGAATTTAAAACCAAGGTTGATTAAAGAAGACATCAAATCCGTGACTGAGTGACCATAAAATCTAGAGTAATATAAATGCATACCTAATAAATCATGGGAAAAGAACAGTGAGATGTATCTTAATTTTTCCCATAGACTTTTATATACACAAACATAATTGTAAACAATGTAGTCATTCCCATTTTCACACGCCTCTTATTTTACAAATGAGATGAAAAGCAAAATATTCCTTTGATTTAGTCAATTAAAAAATTTGTGCTAAGACAGATTGGCGGAAACTGAGCTAAGCAAAGTTTTTGTAATTGACTATTTATTGTGTCATCAAGGAATTTGGTCAAATGTAATTTCCCAGCCTGAGGAAGTGGATCCATCCATCCATCCATCTATCCATCCTTCCATCCATCTATCCATCCTTCCTTCCATCCATCCATCCATCCATCTATCCATCCATCCATCCTTCCATCCATCCTTCCATCCATCCATCTATCTATCTATCCATCCTTCCATCCATCCATCCATCCATCTATCCATCCTTCCATCCATCTATCCATCCTTCCTTCCATCCATCCATCCATCCATCTATCCATCCATCTTTCTATTTATCTTAAGGAAGCTCTTATGAACTTATTTTCTTAAGGTAATACACAATAACAATTTAATCTGCCCAAAATCACTTAGTTAGTCAGTTTTTTTTTTTTTTGGTGATTTTGGCTGTTTCTGTTTGTGGCTTTCACGGCCGTAGTTGTTGTCATTCTCAGCCGCACAAGTTGTGCTGTTGCTGTGTTTTAATATTCCCAGCACATTTACAGAGGGTGAAGGTGTGTCAGAGACTCTGCTTCTGCAGAACCTCGACGTCTGTCAGACAGGGACGGATCAGCCATTATACAAGTCTGTCATTTTTGTTTTTCAAGGGCTCATCGCTGTCATGCAGCAAGAGCCAGAAAGGCTCAGTTCGGAGCTGAGCCAATATTTGGGGGTAAGCAATATAACCAAAATGTCTTCTCTATTCTTTCTTTCTTTAAGATGTCTTAAAATCTATACCTACTGCACACACTGCACACAAAATTAAATGTGACTTACTCAACCATTACTGTTAAAAGCCAGGCTTTTCAATAAGGCCGACAGCCCATGATCTGCCCTACACACTCCTGCCCCCACCAACCAACAGAGTCATGCTGGCACTAAAAAGAGAGTCTGAGGCAGATAATGAGTGATGAGGGAGTCTGGTGCTGCGTTTTATAGGCCAAGTTGACTTACTTTGATGTGAAACTCCATTTTGGTGATGAGCAGTTTGAGGTAGATGCTGCACAACTTTCCATAGCCTTCGCTCAGGTGACCCTGAGGATGAGAGAGATGTTAACTCAAGAAGGGGGAAATGTGATTAAAGTTCGGGCAAAAAAAAAA